ACTTCATGCTCAAAAACACTGTTGTGGTTTATGTGAATGCTATTTTAAGAACTGTTTAACTGTCAAGTTTGTGTTGGTTGGCTATTTATAGGAAACCAATAAATACTGTATGTACAAAGGAAATGGAAGGTGGAGGTGGTGCACCACCAATAATCTTCTTGTGTGAAACATGTACTCAGAACAGAAAATGTAAAGTTAACCAGAGTAACTTTGTTATAGATAATTAAGTCCGCCTTCAAGTAAGTTTGTTAATGTCTTTTTTTTTTTTATACAACTTTACTCTTATTTGCCAATTTTATAAAAATTCCTATATCCTTTTATCTGTTTCAAACAGGATGATAATTCTAGGCGCACTGCCTCCTTCCTCTGCAGTATCTGTACTTTTCTATGTAAATATCCACTAAATGCAAACATGAAAATAGTTTGGAGTTTAAAAGATTATTACTCACATACAGCTATGACAGTTTGGTGATAAAAATGGGGAATTAGGGATGTGATTTAGTCTTTTGGTACAGTAGCTTCATCCTCTGGGACAAACCATCCTAGTTGATTTATCAAATCATTTATACTGAAAAGGGAGAGTTATCTACTAGACATAAAATCATAGCAGCTTATAACCTTTTTAGCCTGACTTCAAAAAGAACCGAAGAAAATAAATTAGTAGATCTAAAAATGAAAAAAAATCGTAAACTAAGTATATTATTTAGACCATTATATATGGTTTGATTTTCTGTTTATTTTGGTTAATCGTGATAAATTGAGATTATAGAAAATGAAACTAAATTCAGTTCTAAAAATTATATAATGTTGTATAGAAGCAATTAAAAACAGGATTATTCGAGAATGTAAACGTTGCATTATAGCTCACCTAATTAAATGAACTTAAAACAGTTCCCCAAACCTTCCATGTATAGGAAAAGCCATTAAAGACAATTCAAGAATATAGATGGAAAGTTCATTCGATGGAAAAAATGTGGCAGAAAAGTATGTGGCTCAGGGCTTACCACAACTTTCAGCTGGTTGTGAAGCAAATCTCTTCAAAGAATTTGATTGAGATTCACAAAGCATGGACTGCAGCTGGAATCAGTGCTGCAAAAAGCGCAACATGCATGATATAATTAGGACATGGACTACAACTGTCAGATTCATTTTGTTTAGCCAGTCCTGAATCAGAGGCAACTTCAGAAGTATCTTAATTGGGTTAGGGAGGAAAAAGGACCGGACTGTTGCTCAGTAGCCCACAGTCCTCTTTCAAATGACAGCACATTTTTCATCTTATTTAGAAATCAAGGTCCCAAAGTCTGAAGAAAGAGCAGGAAGAAACAGAATCCTGAATGCTTGAGATCCAGAGTAAATCCTCTATTTTCAGTGATGATTAGTGGAGCCATGTCACCTGCCTGTTTTGTTCCGCCATACAGTATTTTAATTCATCCAAAGTCAGCACAGCCTCTGCTATCCTCTACTGACGAGCTTTATGGAGATGCTGATTTCATTTCCCAGCAGGATCTGGCATCAGCCCACACAGCCAAAACTACCAAACTTGCTTTAATGAGCATCGTATCCTGTGCTTGATTGCCCAGCTTGCTAGTCTGACCTAAACCCCATGGAGAATCCATGGAGTACTGCCAAGAGGAAGATGAGAGACAAGAACTAACAATGCAGACAAGATGAAGGCCACTATTAAAGTAACCCCCGCTTTTGTTGCAAAAATGGTGCCACCCAAGTATTAAGTGCACATAATGTAAATCCCTATGATCCTGGGGTCTGAGGTCTGGATACTTCCACAGCGTGCATTCAAGCTCTCCACAATCCCATTAATGAACTCATTATTTTGTGGGAGTGTTGGACTAGTGGTTAGAGCAGTGCGCTTTTGCTTTGAGAAGGTTGCAAGTACCAACTAGTAGTAGCCTCCGCTCTGGGTTCCTTAGCAAGACCCTTAACCCCACACTGCTTCCCGGGCGCCGCACAGTGGCAGCCCACTGCCATGGGTTAAATTCAGACAATGAATTTCCCCATTGTGGGACAATAAATGGATTAACTTTTTTTTTGTTTAGTATGAAAGGAGAGATGCATTTGACAGGAAAGGCACACCAGACCTCAAGGGCAGGAAATTAAGTCACGTTTTTGCTTAAATAGTATTTTTTATTTTGGTTCAATATTAGTATTATGTTGGAAATCGAATTTGGCGTTTTTATTCACTGTAATTCATAGGAAAAAAAAGGCATTGGCATACATACTAAGTGGTTAAATCATTTTTAGGATGAGCAAGTTTAACAGAATCAGAAATACTTTAATAATCCTAGAGGGAAATAACTTTTGTTACACGTATATATATATATATATATATATATATATATATATATATATATATATACACACGACAAACCACACAAGATAATAAAAATATAAATATACACACATATAACTCTTCTAAATATATATATATATATATATATATATGCGTATAACTATGCATATTAATCACTGAAATAACTGTAAAGTGCTTTGAGATGAGATGTGTTGTGAATTGGCACTATATAAATAAACTGAATTGAATTGAAATGGAGAACTTGGAGCTTTTTAATCTTTAAAAAAAGTCGTAATTAAAAAAAATCTGAACTATCCCTTTAAGCTAAATCGTTTGTGTAAATGTGCTCTCGGTCGCCCCCCTCTGGCCTTTAGGGGTCACTAAGCGGTCTCGTAGTTCGCTAATACCTCGGTCTGGCTCTTTTCCAGTCTATGTAATGTCTCTCACCTCCAGATAAGGATTTATAAATATATTTATCCCCCTCTGCTGCGCTTCTGGAGATGAGGAGGAGAAAAAGGGGGAAAGCGCAGGCGGGCAGGCAGCACCAGCAGCGGGGAGAGCAGAGCAGTGAGGGGGGTGGGGGGGTGATGAGTCAATACAACTAATAATTTAATGGGGACAGAGAGGGAGAGACGGAGTGAGAGGGGCAGAGACAGAAAGAAAGAAAGAAAGAGAAACAGAAGAGGAGCTCCGTCCGGACGCCAATCCCCATCCAACAGACAGGACGCCTCCTACTATCACCACCACCGCCGGCGGGGGCTGCTCGCCTATCCGTCCACATCGAGGCTTTATCGGCTGTTACCCGGACCGCGCGGCAGCGGCGGCGGTGTGGATGTCGCGGAGCGAACTAGAGCCGAACTCCCCTCTGTAGTTGTAACCGATGTAGCCGCGGTTAGAGGCGGCTATAACCCGCTCACTCTCCGCTAAATGTCGCCGGTTTCACAGCTCTGCGTCTGTTTCCTCCAGCTGGACGGAATGAGCTAACGTCGAGCAGCGCTCACCGATGCTCGCCTGTCGGGCTCCACATCGACCCTCGCAGCGGCTCACAGACACCGGCTTGTTGTTGTTGTTGATCCGCTGCGCTGCCGAGAAGAGCCGGAGGAAGCGGCTGGTTCATCTTTCAGCTCAGCCTCCTGCTGTCATGCACACGGAGTCCGACTAAAGAGGCAGGACTCAGGAGTTGCTATTTTTCCTCCTTTCTTTTTAATCTTTTTTTTTTTTTTTAAAGAAACATTGTTTCTACCCTGGCTAAACTTGAAGGAGACGCGTTTTCCAGGCGGTGTTTTATGTTCTCCAGAGCTGAAGTTCTAGGATTCAGGTTGGTTTTCATCCACAGCGTTATCACACCATGACTACAGGGAAAAGCAGAAATACTGGCTTACACAGCGAGACACATGAGCCACAACTCTATGCTGTCTTTAAAAAAATATAAACCATATTCTGTCTAAAAAGGGTGAATAAAACCCTTTTTATTTAGTCTGTTTTACAGGTGTCAGTAGAATCCAGAATCCTAACTGCTGCTGCTTTTTCTCCAATCAAGTCAATCCTGTTTATAAAAGCGTGGATGTCTAAATTATAATTATAAATCTTTTATAAAACCTACCAGAATATCTTCTAGAAGTAATCTAGAGCCAGCAATTTTTTTTTTTTACCTTAAAAAGAACCAGGTTGGGGATTAAAGGTCAGAACTGAAGTTGTTTCAATCAGCAATCCCTTGAAAGCTAAAATCAGTTTTTATGATTTAACTTTACTTTTAGGTTTCGTTGCATTTTTTTTTTTCTTTCAGTAAATTTTGGGTCTAAATGCTTCTAAATCCTATTCTCTTCATCCATCCTTCCCTAAACTCCGATTTGCCCCATTTAACTTTTTCTCCTGTTTTGTGTTTGAAGGTCATTTAAAAATCCTGACCTGGATCTGGACAGCATCCGGCTCTGGATTCCTCCCCAGCCCCTTTCCTCCTCAAATTAGTTTGCCTCATTGCATGTTATGAATGGGGGTGTTCATGATCTTTTGCGTGGGGTTGGAAGATTTTGCCCTTTTCTCTGGTTGAGCATTCCAGCTCACGTCCGTCAGCACGCCGTTAACCTGCACGCATCATTACATTTTCCACCTTAACGAGTGAGATCGGATTGAACCAGGATTGTGCTGAGCTGTATCCGAGCTCTGAAGCACCTGTGGGTGCTGCAGCCTTCCCACATTTACAATTTCGATGACTGCCCTTATGACTCAGCAGCTGCCTGCTGTCAACTTTCCTCGAGCCACGTTGTCCCCACCGTCCCGGGCTCGTAAACTTACTGTGGTGTTTAAAAAACTAGTGCTTTGGTTGTGAAATCTAAAAATAAAGTTCACACCTGTTGAGAAACCTACATGTCTGTCGCAGCAGTGCGACGCCGCGGCCTTTGCTTCCCTTTACCCTCCTGAGCTGCAGCATGGACGTGAAGCCACACGAAGCAATGACTCAGAGACCGAATTGCATTAGTTTCCTGCACTGCTCTGCAGAACCTCCAATCTTCTCACTGCATGCAAACCGAGCAGTATGCCGTCACACATTTAGTCGTTTGCACGACAGGTTTGGCCTTCGTTAAACCTTTTTTTTTTATACTCAGGGATATCTTCTGGGTCCATCATACTGTTAAAAAGATACATATATGCTTTAACGGTTTGCATCTTTCCTCTGTTTGTCTCCTCCCAGGTGATAGTGAGCTGAGGTGCTGAGGATGATGGAACATCTCAGCGAGTCGTGTCTGGGGAAGGAGAACTCAGAGCTAGTCGTAGGCGGCCTGACCGAAGCCAAGGCCCCGCCGGCCAAACTGCCCCGGCTGGAGCAAAATGGCAGTCCCCTGGGCAGAGCCAGGCTGGGCAGCGCTGGGGCCAAACTCGCTGGGGTCCCGTTCAAACCTGCTGGCCACCTGCTGAAAGCCTGCCACAAGAGAGGTAGGAGAGCATTATATGAAAGGGAACATTTCCTTCACTTTTTAAACTAATCACTACTACCATTTTAATTTTGATAAAGACAAAAACAGATCAAATATCTTCATTTATTATTCACATATTTTACAAGAAACAACCTATACTGAACCTGAATGTAAAAAAGAAATAAAATCAAGATGACATTAGCAGGGATGAATAAGCTAAAAAGTCAAATTCATAAAGGAGTTATTTAAATGCTGTTTTACCCTCTCACCTACCTCTGCAAGTTCTTTAGACCTCATAAACCTTTTCTTGTTTGAGAAACAATGCTCCGGTATAGTCTCCACACACTCTCCCTCTCATATTGCTAGCACGTATTTTCTCAGACAAAAGCTAATAGAGGCGCAGTGTGAGAAATGTTCCTGCACTGGGCTACAACTGCAGCTCTTATATTTGTTTATTGAGCAGTAGATCCAGTCTGAAAAGAGTCCTTTTTAAAGACAGTTTTTAAGACTATAGCTTTATATATATATATATATATATATATATATATATATATATATATATATATATATATATATATATATATATATATTGCAACTAGTGTCATGATTTATAAATGAAATATTTGGTGGGCTGTCCAATATACACTGTGCCTTTCAATTTTTTTTGTCTGGGTTTTGTAGCATGGAAGTAAAATAAGACATTTTTAAGAGTTGTAGACATATATCGGTGAAATTCCAACATTCGTCTCACTAAAATAGAAATCACAGGTCTCTTTTTCTTGCAGCAATGAGATCAACAGATAGAGCAGAGTACAGTACAGCATCTCCCCTGATAGAGCCAAACTTGAACCGTCTAATTCAAAGAATGGATCCCTTTTATTCACTCTCCTCTCGGCCTCCAGGTTCCTGACCACATGTTTTAAAGTAAACACTCCCCTTTCTTTGTCATACTGAGGTGTCTGCTCCCAGGATCCCCCCCCCCCCCCCCCCCCCCACACACACACACTCAGATTAATAACCCTCAATGCATCAAGGTATACAGGATATTGGCAGATAACTTTCTCACTGAATGTCAGAGCTTGTAGGGAATCGACATAAAGAGGAATTATTGCAAAATATAAAACATCTTTAGGAACCGCATTTCACAAAATAAAAGTCAATAACTAATACCGGGGGGGTTCCAGCTATGCACATCTAAAGACTGATTCTTCAACTCATCCTTTAAAGAACAGCTCTAGAACAGTGGATGGTTTAGGGAATGCCTGTCACCTGCGTTCTTCAAATCTTGCCTCGCTCTTCTAACTTATGAATATGCTTTAATCTGGAACACTCTATTGTTATTACTTTTGCTTGTTTATTCAAGGCAAGGCAGGTTTTTTTAGAGAATGTTTTTAGTTGTGAGAGAAATGTACGTGAACAAAATAACATAAGGATAAAACACACAGAAAAGTATGTTGCAGTGGTATAGTAGGAGAGGAAATAAAACACAATAAAACTAAGTATGAAAGGCAATAAGGAGAAATAATTAAAGTGATACAATTATAAAGAAATGATAATGTAAATTTATTTATATTATCATTTTTTTCATTAGTATAACTCTGGATATTGCTTTTGAGATTATGCTGTTTTTAAATGTTTCTTCCTAACGAGGAGGCGATTTCCTGGAATTACTTACTAGCTCATATTCACCCACTGAAACACTAATGTTTACATTGTTAACTTCAGATAACTGGGGGATATCCCTCTTTAAAATGTTTCCATTTCTGGAAAAAGAGTCAGACTGTTAACTTGATATCAGGGGAGCCCCTCACCACGTTCATAATTCAGAGTATTTTGCAGACTTTAGCAGGTTAGCAGCTAATAACATCCATTTTCCCTTCAGCTATGACCATCTTCCTCATCCCCACTAAAGAACAGCATCCCCACACCATGATATTGCCCCTGCCATGTTTCACAGGTGGGGAATACAATTTCCTTTGCTTTGACGGTCCTCTTTGTTCACTAATGTTGTCAACAAACCCTGGAGGCTTCCGCAGAACGGCTGGTTGGATACCGAGATATTAGCTCTAGTTGCTAATTTGCCAACTTTTCAGTTGGTTGCATGAGGTTCTGTTTGTGGTTGAGAGAGTAGGTTGGACTAAACAGTTATCCATGGCAGACGTTTCAGATAAAAATTTGTTAAACATGTAGAATAGTCTTTTTGCGTCACCTAGCTGTTCCCTGGTTCATCTTAAAAAAAAGTATCTAACGGTAGTACATTTGCAATATGCTGATGAAGATTCTCAGTCATCCAGGTCATTGTCATTCCCTAAAAGTTTAAAAAACAATCCACTGGACTTGGTTTCCAAGGTTTGAAGACGTTTCGCTTCCCCTCCAGGAAGCGAAACGTCCTGGAGGGGCGTTCTCAATTCAAATGTCACACATTGGACATTTGAATTGAGAACGCTTCCTGGAGGGGAAGCGAAACGTCTTCAAACCTTGGAAACCAAGTCCAGTGGATTGTTTCTTTTTTACTTTTACGGAATAGTAAAATTGCAGTTTTTAACTTGGAAAAAAGTGTAAAATTGTTGAACTTGCTGCCTAACTTTTGTTAGGCAGAGTAATGAAATATATTTAGATTTTTTTTTTTTTGTAGAAATGATGCCTGATGTGGTTTATCTTGATGATTGAAATGATGATTGTTTTTTTTTCAGCCATAGTTTCTCTTGGCTCCCAAAGTGTTTGTTTGTTTGGCGTCTTTAGTTTTTCTTTTGCCAACATGGGTGCAGGAACTCTTGAAATGTCGCTGTGGGAGTCTCCTCGTTAGGTCCGTTTTCTCTCATTCGCTGTGTTTTACAAAGGTGTTGACGCTCCGGCCGAGAGAGAGAGTTTAACTAGTCACCTTTATCATGGCCTTTCCATTTATGGCGTCCCGTTGGGTTTGGTTCTCCGAGCTTCCTTCCTCCTCATCCCTTCTTCTGATTTTTTTTTGCTGGGTGAAGCGGCCAGTGGAGGCGGGTGATTCTGTCGTTGAGGCTTCGCATAGAGCCCACAGTGGGCATTGTGTCCGAGACCGAAACAATATTTACCGCAGCCCTCTCTGGGCTCCCAGGAAACAAAGCCGGTATTGATCCCCCAAATGAACCTACACAGCAGTCTTTATTGTTAGATCTTTATCTATTAAAATCAGGGGAGGAGAAAAGCAGCTCTTTCAGCACATTCCATTGCTTTTTGTCGGCTTATTGATTGTTTTGCCAGAGCCGTGCACATCTTCTGGAATGCCTGGGATTGGAAAATATTAGAAAGTGAATCATTTTTGTCTGCAGTGACAATAAACGTACAGAAACGTTTCCGCGCGGTTGGAGAGTGAAGCAACAGAGCAGCTCGTAAACACGCACCGCTCAGATTCCCTCTTCAGGAGCTCTTTAACATAACTCCTTTTTCCCTCTTCAAATTTAAAAGGCCAAATTCTCTCCTTTTTTTTTCCTCATCTAACTCTTCAATTTACGGGGATGTTATTTTAACAGAAACGCCATACCGGCTGATATTTGCACATGTGAAAACTCGGTCTTTGGACAAGCATTGTTCATTCTTTAAAACAGCAGAGCCACTGTTGACACAGAAGACTGAACCTCGGGGTGCGGAGGTGGCTCGGGATTTGAAGCGCTGCATCATGGGAAGATGATTTTGGGTTGGCAAGCAAAGAGTAGAAAGGCAAATGTAATCGCAGTACCTTGACAGTGAATAATGAGGATATCATGCCCAAAAGGAAAAAGAGGAGAGGAGGAGTTTTAATGGCGGTTTTATGCAGAAAGGCTCCAATCAGGCTTTTATTGGCGGATCCTGATTTCTGGTTTCCCGTTGATGTCTAAGCACCTGATTCTGATTTGGTTTCCAAGGAAAAAACATCCAAATTCATTCTTTTAAACGTTGTTCTAATTTAGTGCATCCAGCTTTGGTCTTTTAATAATTAAAAAAGGCTGCAGGAATCACAGATTTTTTTTTAAAGGCAATGCCAAAAACATTTAAACTACCTTTAGCATCTCATAATAATTTTTAGTTTGGATGGATTAGTGATTTGAACGGCAGTCGTCATGTTAAATATCCCCCCCAACAATACTGAAACCTGTTTGGATTTGTCCTGTTTCCTTCTAGACAGCCTTTCAATGCTCCAAATGATAAAATGGAGCATTTTTTCTTTGCTTCTTTGTTTTTTTTTTTGTTTTTTTTTTATTTCCGATTTTTTTCCTATGACCTCAAGTCCAAATACATCAATGGTTACAGAAAGTTGCTGATCTTCGTTCCACGGTAACAACTTTCTCTAACAACTGGTATTTTATGGGCCTGTTACCCCTTTGGCATGGTGCGGTTATAACAGGATCGAGATCAGATTTTTAAATGTCCAACTGAAAGAGCTGGGATTCAGCTTGTTGTCGAGAAAGGGTGATTTCTTGGTGCGTCACCAGAAAGACGGTTAGAAGCTCTTTGATTAGTTGATAAGTTTTTAAGCCAACAAAAAGATTTTGAATGGGTGATTCTCCAATCTATAGTCTAGAGATTGACACATACCAATGATAACAGAACACTTAAAAAATAATTGAAAATGTTTTTGTTGAGTTAAATGAAATCTTACCGTTTATATCTTATGTTTTTAAGGATATCCTCTAAGCATGCTTATCTTTCTTATTCTGTGAGAGTTTTTACATTTTTGTCCACCTCAGGAAAAATCTCTGCGGCTCTGTTACCTGTTAGTTGATGGGTTTTCATTTTTTGGATTCATGGAAAAACAGATCAAAAACACTCTGCTTGCCTTTTGATTTATTATGTATTTTTGCATTTCTACTGTATGACTAGAAAATCATCACCAATTTACTAATATGCAATGTTTTAAGTACATGGAGATCATTCATTTAGGAGTATAGATGGAAGAAGAAGAACAGGATGAAAGGGCATGTGTGATTGGTAGCTGGGATCATCAGACCTGGACACTAAAATAGAATTTAAAATAATTGAACATTTATCCCAACAATCAAACCAGAAGCAAACAAATCTTTTAAAAGGAAATAATAAAACACAAAAGCTGTAACTACTGTACCTAATGGCACAAGTGTCACCATTCTCAAACTAATAAATTAGTTTCAGTTTCTATTTTCTATAACTCTACCTTGCACAGGTTTTCAGATCTGTTAGATTGTGAGGTGGTTCTGTTAAGGTGATCCCGTAGATTTTCTGTCAGTTTAGTTCTGAACTTTGCCTCATCCAAAAATCTTCAAATTGACCCTGTTGATTTGTCCAGTGTAGCTTTACACTTAACTCAGGGAGTGGTGGCTTAGTGGTTAGAGCATTGTTCTTGGGTCCCGGAGGGTCTGAGTTCAAGTCCCACACACTCCACGGACTGCCACACTGGGTCCCTGAGCAAGACCCCTAACCCCAGACTGCTCCCCAAATGCGATGGGGAGATGCAGAGAGTGATTTTCCCCAATGTGGGACAATAAATGGTTCATATTCAGTAAGTCATATTGGTTGTGGGCAAAGAAAACAAAATGTTCAAATGAAACCAATCTGAGATTAAACTAAACATATTTCAAGGTATTAAAAGACAGTTGCTGGTAGTTTAGCATGGGTTTTTACACTTTTGAAAGCCGTTAAAACCACAAGAATAACGCCCTAGAATAGAGATCCTAAAATAACAAAGAAACAGAACAAAGATTCACAAAAGACAAATTCATAATAGACATATGAGCAATCAGAAGATACAGTTTCAGATTTTACATTTAGAGAACGAAAATTTAGAGCTTAATACATGAATATAAAAGAAATGCAATATATCAGAGATATAGCTTTAAAATAGTGCAGATGTCTTTATTTTTGCATTCATTCCTGTTTTGCTGCAGCCGAGTCATTCCCCAGGCAAATCCCTTGACACTTGCTGTAACTTAATCATCAGCGCTGGGTTTCAGTCCACCAGCAGAACACTGAAGGTCAGCGTCTGCATGTGGAGAAATGTGGAACCCACTCAGTGTCTCTCCTGCATTTCTTTTCTTCAAGGCAACATGCTGCCCGTGTTCTGTGTGGTCGAGCACTATGAGAACCCCATGGACTTCGACAGCAAGGAGGAACACGCCGAGTTTGTCCTGGTTCGCAAGGACATGCTCTTCAACCAGCTCATCGAGATGGCCCTGCTGTCGCTGGGCTACTCCCACAGCTCCGCAGCTCAGGCCAAAGGTAACCAATGAGCTTTCTTAGTCACTCTATTCTCTCCCTGACATGCTTTTACCACACTGCAGCTAATCTGAAGCTACAGTAGAGCATCCTTACTCTGAGCCTAGACACTATGGGTCATGCACACTACTGTATACACTACATATATATTTATACTCAGCAGGTGTAGCTGGTTGAAGAAAGGTTCCACTAATTGTGCTGGAACACATGCAGGCTGAGGCTAGATGTTTCTCTATGTTCTTTTTAATATAACCTGTCCATCACACACACACAAACTGAAGCAGGCACCACTTCACATCCTAATCCAGCTCTCCCCTGAGCCGTCCTCCTTCCTCCATCCTGCTGTGTGGGCTGCTCCAGGTTTGAAGACGGCGTCAGGAGAAATTCACACTTTTATGTTGTGATTTCACTAATAAATAAAGAGGAACGGAGAGTGATTATGGCACCAAGATGCTTCTTGGTTGCCTACACATGGTGCTATTCGCACTTTTCACGCGTGTTACTGTTTTAAATTAGCTCAGACGCTCTCGTTCTCTCTCTTGTCCACATCTGTTGTTCACCCACGTCGACGTGTCTGTGATCCACTCAGGTATGATTCAGGTGGGGAAATGGAACCCCGTCCCGCTGTCGTACGTGACAGACGCGCCGGACGCCACGGTGGCCGACATGCTGCAGGACGTCTACCACGTGGTCACGCTTAAGATCCAGCTGCACAGGTAGGACGGCGTCCCGTTTCTGTTACACACGTACTCTCTGACCCATCAGAATGCCATTATCCCATATGATGGCTCTATGTACAACATATCTTTACAGTGGAGCTGCATTAACCCCTGATTGCACCTCTAACACAGTCTGCACATAACGTTTTCTCTTTGGCAGTTGGCAATCTGCGTGTTTCATACTCAGAATAGCATTATTAGTCATAGAAACTGCCGCTTGGCCTCTCCCAGGAAACAGGAACAGATATCTGAGGAAAAATCTCCACGACATGTGGGTGCCTAAAACACACTTGTTGTAAATGTAGTCATTTTTTTGGGTTAAAAGTCAGAAAGCAAAGAAAGGGAATCCTCCGACTAAGAATCTTTTCTGTATCCGTTTAGCTTTAAACGGTCAAAAACCATCAAAAGGATTTAGCTCCAGTAGCTGATCTAAATTTAACTGGTATGTGCTGTTAACTGATTAGCAGATTACACAGGCATCTTGTTTTGTAAATTGGTGAAGTAAAAAAAAAAAAAAAAGGGACAAAATATTAAAGCTGTGAGTCTCGATTCAAGCTCTGCACATAAAAAGAGATTCCAGCAGATTAAGATGATGCTTTCTACAATTTTTTCAAACCAGAAATAACTCCAAAAATCCCCAGATGTTGAATCCAAAAGACAATAATTTGATTTTAAGGTTTTATGCATTGAATTATCCATTTTGGACTTTGTCTTAAAATTAGTCGGACTCAACCTTAGAGGGACAACAGAAACACCTTTAACTCTCTGTTGTTGCTGGTAGTAAATGAGCTTTTAGAAAATAGGCTCCAATCATCAGTCCCATATTTGTACACCGTAAAGAAAACTTTGGTTTAGCTTTTGGCTCAAGGACGTGCTGAAAATAAACTTACAGAAAAAAAATCTGTTAAATAAGTCGATTCTATTCGCCTCCATGGGAGTTTTCATGTAAATTCCTGCTAGTGAAATGCATGCTCTATTAGCAAGCAGGAATTTAGTCGGTTTGCAAGCAGGAAAGACAACAGCAAAGAGATGACCAAATCGGTCTAAGTCTTACTGGGCCATTATATTGAAAAAGATGTTCCTCAAAAGTGGAAAAGATTGAAGAGAGTGGGCATCCTTTCCAGGAGTGGACGTCCCAAGATGGGATGTTTTGATCAGGAAAGGCTTAGAGAAATAAAGTAAAAAAGAAGTGTTATCTTTAATGACACAACGATTACAAACTTCGATAATCAAAGTAACATCTTAGCTAACTGAAAATGTGTGAAATGAGGTAAAGATGTTTCGATTGCCGTTATAGGGCTGAGAAACCCAATCCAGAAATGCCTCACAGCAGCTGTCAAGCATAAGAATGGCGGCTTATGATGTGGTTTTTTTTGCAGCCATCGTACCTGTACACCCTGGACTCAGTTTTTTTTAGATCATCTTTACAAGACTAGGTATTAAAGGTTTTATCATTTTTTTAAGGAGATGATTAAAAGCATTTTTCTTTATTATTGCGGATCCAAAAATATACAGCCTGACTATAAGACAGTGGTTTGGTGTAGAAAACAACTAACCACAAGCCTTGGATTGAATGCTGTTTCCGTCTTCCCATCACATTGGATGCTGAATTCTCCTCTGTAGGTGTGAGCCTTTGTTTTATTATTGCACCTCAAGCGCACACACGCTTTTATATTTTTGGACCCAAACAGGCTTGCATGTCCTCACGGACACAAAGACGTGCACGCACAAACAGTCAGCTGGCGCTGATGTTCAGGCTTGTGCCAGCTGCGCGCTAACCTAGTGTTCTGCAACTCTCTGGAGAGCTGTTCCTGCTCTGCCTCTTCCCCTTCTGTCCCCCCCCTCCCCTCCCTCGCCTCCCACCTTCACCAGCCGAGCACTCGCACATGCACCGACTGATGTGAGCACGTCCACCAGCCAGAATACAGAAGGTTGTGTTTGTTTCCGGCCTGCCAGCCTCTGAATGCACGGATAGCTTTCCTTCCCTGCTCCCTCCTCCCATCCTGCTCGCTCTTTCCCTCCTCTTGTTCACTTCCATCTCCCCAGAGGCTCTCTAGCTGCTGGAGCAGTTTAAGGTGTTCTGGAAAATCCATTGTCGGCCTGATGGAGTGCGTGCACGTGCAAGGCAGTATGTTTCCTCGCTAGCAGATGTTGGCCTGGACCATTGCACGCATCCTTGTCTCTTCCATTCTCCTGTTATCTCTTTGCTCAGAACAGTTTCACCGAGCAAAACGAGAGACGCTATTTTTGTGTTTTTTTTTAATGCAAAGCCAGATTAAAAAAAATATGTCTCTAAGTGTAAAGCAAAGCACGAGCATATGTCTAGCACATCCATACTGGCTGAAACCACTGGAGTCCAGTTCAGCTGCCCACACTCAGCATCTAAACATGTTTCTCATTTTCAAAGCCCAGGGGCGTTTTTTTCAGGTAGAGCTAAAAGTCTGCAGCTGATGACTCTTCCAACTGAAGGCAGCGTCGATCTGTTACAGATCGGAGTATATTGTTGTTGTTCTGAATATTTTCAGCAGCGCTATTATCTTCGTTTTGCACCCAAACCGCAGAAATCTACCCAGTTAGACCTTAAATTGTCTCAGCGAATACAACAAGCCAGGAAGGTACCAGTAACACAGAATAATAGTCGCCACATGCAGCTGATGTATAATTCATGCATCAATCCAGCAGATGTGTTGTATAAAGTAATTAACTAATCAGAACAATCAGGAGAGAGAGAAAAGGGGAGAGAGGGAGAATATGAAAGAGAGAGGAGGAAGGCAGAGGGAGAGATGGAGAGAGAGACAGAGCAATCTCCAGATGCATCTGCTTGATGCGCCAAATGAAATCTGTCTGTCTTGGAGGGACGCTTGCAGCAGGAAAAACGAGCAGAGGCCCGTGTGTTCAGCTCTCTTTTCTCTCTGGTTTCCTCTCATGTGACTTCAGTGCATCACTACATGGATTTCAAACAGTTCTGTCCTAAAACAGATTTTTTTCGAGGGGAACAGGTTTTGTGGTTGGATCAGTTTGTGGCTGCTGGACTGTGGACTGTGTCTGTGCTCCCCTTTAGAATTTAGACTCTTAGATTAATACTGAGATTTGCAAAAGATTGCTAATATTTCCAAATCCAATATTTTTGAAGTCTGAGAGGGAAACAACCCAGCAGCCTTCCTGTTATCCATTTTAAATCCTGCTCTTTCTTACTCTCCTGCAGAATTAAAGATGCTGATCTCTGTATTACATCAGATTGCTTTCTGGTGTTACTGAAAAAAGCAAACTAACTTATTAGTCAGTAAGAAATGTTTCTAAAAAAAAATTCTCAGTTTTTGTTTATGGTTTTGTAAAGAATACAAAAAAGAGTGAATTATTGATCTCTATTCACCCATTTCAACAATGCAGCTCTCCTCCTGTGGTTAACATGGCTGAATTGGTGGCTTTATTTATGGGAGTTCTGTCTTTCCAACGATGTAGATCAGTTCATTAAATGGAAAGTGAAATATGTCAACTTCTTTTCAAAAAGCGCAGCTAAAGGATAAGTTAAGGCTTTAAAACATTTTTAATTCTAACCCTAAAGGTATCAACAAACCCTAACCTGAACAAACATTTGATTAAGTTCAAAGGTTATTGTCTATATTGACTCCAATTGAGTCCAATGTATTGCCTTTATCTCAGCTTTTTCTCGAGTTTCAGTAGCTTAAATTATTACAGCAACCACATACAACCTTAAAGTATTAGGTTAAAGTTTATCACATGGTTTCTAGAATCAACACTGAAAAAAAAAAAACCAAAAAACAATTCAAATGATCTGTATATATGTATTTGATAGATATTACCAATATTAAAGCCTTTTAGTCAATTTTTAGTCTTAATTCACCAAAGTCACAGAAAAATGTTAAGACAAAACTTTTGTTTTAGCTGAGCTTTTTTATGATTACTGTCTTTTTTGCCCTTCTCTATCCCTCTCTCCTACCCTCCTCCCTTCTTATACCCCATCTCCTGTGTTTCTTTTTTCTTAACAGTTGTCCTAAGCTGGAGGACCTGCCGCCCGAGCAATGGAGCCACTCTACAGTAAGAAACGCCCTCAAGGAGTTACTCAAAGACATGAATCAGAGCTCTCTGGCTAAAGAATGCCCTTTATCACAGGTGCTGGAGCCCAATCTGCTTATTCAAAATTCCCCCCCTACAAAGAGCAAAAGAAAACAGAAAAATATTTCAACCTCACCTCACCTCTTCCCCCTCCCCTCTACTACCATACCAAACAACAAAACAAGCACCCCTATCTCCATCACCTCCGTCTCTTATCCTTCATTTATCAAATGCCCCGAGTTTGATCAAGTGGGAAAAAGAATTGGCATAGAAAACCAAAATCAATGGCTATTGTCGTCTGAATTTTTTTTCCTCCTCTTGCCGCCTACATCACGCAAACACACACAGAAGCAGAGACGTGCATGCAGCGGCAGCCAAAAAAACAGAGGTGTTACTGAACATATGGTTATTGTTAGATAAACACTGGACCAATCCCAGAACGAGCCGGATTGCTTTTTTTTTTTTCTGCTCTTTTTTTGTGTGTGTCTTTTAGTTCGTTTTGTATCACTGCTTTGGGCTCGAGAAAAACACATTCACATGTTAGGTGTTATGCTTTGTGCCGCTTTGTCAGCCAAGAGGTTCAATAGCGTGCTCTTGCACGGATATTGTATTAAAAGGCAATGCAGTCGGTATATCATGTAGGCAGCCGTGGAGTGAATGGAATAAAAAGGCAGAATATTTCAGAGTTTGTTTTAGCTGCTGTTCTGCAGGAATGGTGTGTGTATGTGTGTATTTCTCCTAAATGTGTTGGTAAAATGTAGAGAATATATCTGTGGTATTTGAGGTTTCACAGAGCGGTCAGCTCTCCTCAGGGTCCACCGATGGTCACCTGGAGACCGTGATTTGTGTTGAGCATATGAGCAAGAAGCTGCTTTCGGCGCATGTGTGTGGTGGTGGTGGTGTGTGTGTGTTTAGCTGGGCATGATGATGTAAAGAGTCCCTGGGTGGCGTTCAGGCGGAGCCCAGCCCGGTCTGGTAATCACCCTGTTTACGGTCCATATGTGAAGACGGCTCAGAGGAGAGCACACACTAGCTCGGAGGATTTAACACACAGAGCACATTCAGCCTGTCTCAGACACAAATTCGCAAGACTAAACACACACACACAAGTTTCAGATTAAATGATCAGATTATTTTCTCAAATCGGTATATTTATTTCTCTGTACCAGTTTAACTGCTTTGAATCCGGACTAAATAAAACGTAAGGTATCACTACTTTCTGGGTTACAAAGGTGACCCTTTAAATTTTTCTCCCTAGGTTACAATCTGTTATTTCGGGGGATCTTATGTCATAGTTCAAAATTGGAAAAGTGGGGAAAACATCTGTATTCTTTCACTTGTTTAGTTTCAAGCTGAAGCTATCTGCTGCAAAAGGGTCAAGTTTGAATGCAGAATGTCTGAGCAGGAGGTTTAAGGTCCTTTACTTTACTTTACTCCTGTTAATTAGATTATCAATGTCTTATCAGACCATTATACAGAAGATGGCTATAAGTTTAGACTTATATATATTTATTCATTTCACAGGGACAGTGTACATTTATAAGCATTCCTGCAAATGCACCACAATTAGACAAAAGGCTATTTTTCATCTGTTGTCCCTGGACAGATCTTAAAATTGTCTAACTAAAAAAAAAACACAACAGTAAGCATTTTAGATCCTTCTTACAAGCAAGTGACGTAATCGGGCTCACCTGCTGTCGTTCTGGTTTCCAGTTCCAAAGCTAACCTTTGATTGTTGTTTATTTTATTTAAATTTGAGAAATGTAACCGAGACAAGAAGCCATTTTATAGCCGGCTTTATAACTGAGCTAATAGGATCCACCGATGCCTCAACTCTATGTCACATGATTTCAAGCTACTATTCCTATTGGAGCAGATTTCTTTTGTGTTCATGTTGGCATCAGTATTGATATATATTGGATCTGTCAAAATAGATAAAATAATTTTTATATATATTTTTTTAGCAAAGTTAATATTTTATTCTTCACCATTTTAGAGGATGTTCTATTTTTTAAAATGAATTATTTTTAAGTAATAGTTGTAGTTATGACCTTTAATTACTAAATATAAATTGAACCTGCCCATATTTTTTAGAGTAATCGTTGTTTAACCTCCATCCAAGTTCGAAGCTTGGAGCGTTACAGCTCCTCCAGTGTTACCAAAGTTTCATGGTCTCTGCTTTAATCAATACTTCCCCATCCTGCCTGTCTGTTAGGAAGATGAGCAGTTTTGACAGATTTGAAACCAAGTTTAGTTGGATTTGGAATAATTAGAGACAATAAAACACAAAAAAGCTGAAAAGATGTATGCATTGAACTCAGGAGGTCTTGAGAGCATAAATCCTTCCACTGATGGATGGATAGTTTTAGCATCACTTTATAAGATGTTTTAAGTTTGGATCATTATTGATCCAAGCTATATATCACTGGCTTTAAACCATCCAAGGTTTTCCAGCAAACCTTCCTCACAGACTGTTTTTAGATTTACTCTGAATCACTTCCACTTTGACTATTTTTACTAATTTATGGCTTTTTTTTGTAAGTTGCACTTAATTTTACATTTAACAGAATAAAATACAAATACCAGCCACACTTACAGATATTTTGCTTAAAGGGTCCTCAATCATACTTTTTTAATTCTTCCATTAAATGTCACCTTAAGATATTAATTTAGTATTAAATTTTAGTGTTTTTCTTGTACCTTCTTTATCCAACCTGGAAGAAAGGCACAAGCATTCTCTGTTATTCCACCTCTTCCAGTGTTCGTGTTGCCCATTTCATGACGTCTCCATAGAGACCTTGCAGCATGGTATAAAGCCCCTTCTAGCGATTAATCTCAAAGTCTTCGAACTTTGGCAGCTGAAAAACACATTTTTTGCGACTTAGACAAAAGTTTATTAAAACAACGGTTGTTGTCACTGTGCAGATTAGGGGCTAAAAGAGCGACCTTATCTCAACTTTGAGCAGAAACGATCGCACTCTGCCTCACATCTGACAAAGTTAAACTGGGCAGGTGCAGCTCATACAAACTAGGTGCTTCCTTGAGTGGGCAGGTAATCACTGCTCTACATGAAACAGTGATTTCCACTCATTTTCAAGGACAGGGAGGGCTTCTTCTTAGAGAGCAGAGTTCATGAGGGCTACTCTGACAACCATGAAACAAGCACAATATTACTGAGGGCATGATTTCCATGAAGGAATAGCAATATTGCATAGTTAAAAGCTTAAAGAAAGTTGATGTAGGATATAGGCCCTTTAGAAAACAAGAATTCACTTTACAGCTATCCTCTACTGCAGTGGTCTATAATATAAAAACATTAAAGTCTGTGGTTGTAAAATGAAAATATATAAAAAGGTTCAGCATGAAAATATTTCACAAGCCTCTCTATATATACCAAACGGTTTGTTTCAGTGTGATCTATGAGAGGGCTGCCATGATGGTCTTTGACATCTGTTACTCTGTGGGGGCCGTATGTGTCCGGCTACCCCCACCCTACCTCAAACACAGAATGATAAACACACTCCCTGCCTTCCAGGCCCCTCCCTGAAACAGTTCACTCAGAATGTGAGGGCTGTGGGAGGAGAAAGGGGCGTAGTGGGAGGGAGCACCTTTTTTAGGATTAGTGTTTGCCTCATATTCTACTGTGTAATCCCAAACTAAAAGGGGAGGTGAACAGATGACAGGATAGCTGTGAGTGAATGAGCAAGCCTACCTCTGCACAACTCCCAGAGGAGACTGTTGTGCAACAAAATTTGGTTCGTCTTGAATTACTATAAATAGCTGGAAAAGGCAAACATTAACAGTTATTCATTTTAATCAAACTCACTTAATGGGTGCAACACCTGATTATCAGGAATTAATAACCAAACAGCTTTTAGTGTCTGTCAGTTCTTGTTTTATAAAAACTTACCTGTGGTATTTCATAACAATACATGGAGTAAATACTCTTGTTTGTTTTGTTTTTTAACAGCAGTCCTTACAACGCATAAACAGAATGAACACAAACAATTTCTCTCAGTAATGCAAGCATTTTTTCGGAAAATACTCTACTAAACTTCAACAAAAGGATGAAAAAAGAGCAAAAAAAAGCAACAAGTAAGAGAAAAACAAACAAAAAAATAGCAATTAAAAAAAAGTAGTTTTATATCATTCCAGAGTAAATATGTGATTTTAAAAACCAAGGTTTTTTTAGATAAAAAAAATTTAATAAAGGCTAAATTAGCTCATGTAGAAGAGCATTTTCTTGGATTTCAAAATGAAGAGTTTTAAAATCTACTGATTAATTACAGTACTTTTTGTTTACTATCCATCACAATCACTAAGTGATGGAAAAACAAGATGGCTGATTCACATTTTGGAAGACGGACCATGAAACATTAGAAATTAGCTCAGGTTGACAACAGAGAAAACGGCAGACAGTTAGCAACGTCTCTAAGCTAAATTCTTTGATAAAATGATATTGGTTCTCTGTGGCCGATCTCTGATCAGCACACAGAGCAGATCTGTAAAAGATCTCTGAAGACATTGGATGTCGATCACACATGACTAGGGTTGGAAGATTTTGTCAAAAATCTAAATTGTGATTTTTTTAAAATTCTTTTCCCATTTTATTTTGCAACAAAAAAGTTGTTGCTTTCATAACCTTAAAAGCTTTCTGGTCCAGAATCCATAGTTGCAGGACTTGATTGTTACTGTTGTATGGAAAAGGGTTTGCTTCCACTGCATGGCTCTGCTAGCTGCAGCTCTCTTCCCTTCTGTGTTGTAGCAAAGTGTATAACCAGCATCTTTAGGGCTGGAGGGAGAAAATCAGTGTCTTATTCATTGTAATGCTACCAAAAATGAGTGCCTATGAGATCAAGAAAATTGTGCTTTTTAAGTTGTAATTGTATTGTAAATGCAATCAATTGCCCAGCCTTACAGAGCATCGTACTTTACTTTAGACCCAAGGCTTCTCAAAAGATGCGATGCAAAGAAGCGTGGTC